TGAGATGGGAGATTATCCTGGACTATCTGGATGGGCAAATGTAATCACAAGGTTCCTTATAAGAGGGAGGCAAATAGGTCAACAACATAAAAGGGGATGGGATAATGGATGCAGGGGTTGGAGTGGTGGTCTTTGAAGATGGAGGATGGGTCCATGAGCCGAGGAATGTGGTGGTCTCTAGAACCTGGAAAAAGCGAGGAAACGGAATTTCCACCTAGAGCCTCCAAAAGGAATATAGCCATAATTTTAGACTTCCGACTTCTAGAACTGTAGGTGAAAAAATTTGTGTTGTTTTAAGGCACTAAGTTTGTTACAGCAGCAATAGAAAACTAGTATACCAGATATCAAGCAATAGAGAATTCGGCCAATTTAGGATTCCGAAAGCCATGTGCTTGAGGATCTGAGTTATGAAAGAAGTTTTGTTCTTTTTTAATGCAGTGTTTTTATTTTGATGATAATCTAAAAAATGTCAATGCAAAGATATTCTGGACCATCTGGTAGACCAACTTATAACTAACATCTGTGCTATAATTTCAATGCCCAAGTTTGTGTTTGTGTTTATAGTCACATTAGTAGTGCCAACGGGAGGCTAACTTCAGGCAGCACTCGAAGAACAAAGACATCACGGCGGTTCAGAGAAGAGTTTTGGGAGGACTGAGTTATCGCTTGGCAAATGGCTGTCAACATAACATTCACACTGTGAGTAGCTCTCCTTGTATCTAACGAGAATAAGTTTAGTAGTGAAGAATTTCTGTTTAAACTTTTGTTGATATTGTATTTTGAGGCACACCATTAAATTGATTGACCCATGAAAATAATAGCTCACTGGTTCAAAGTGAGTTTATTATTAGAAGGAAATATAATGATGATGATATTCAAGGTGATTCACGTGATGGTCCATGAGGCTCAAAATCAAATGAACTACGCCAAGAAAGAAAATATAAAACATTTATCATCCTGCTATTAAATATCAACTATCACCTTAAATGACTGTTAGCATTTTAATTACATTAATTTTATATCTAAATTAAAATGCAAATTTCTATTGATTTTATAGTTGTAGACAAGTTAGGATCATGAAGAATTAATCCTAATTTTACATTTCTACATAAAGAGGTAACAACATAATAAAAATAATGTAAGTCAAGCCTGGGGGGAGCATGAGAATTTATTTTTCCTTTGAAAGGAATCCATATATTTGCTCAAGTCCAAGAAATGTAAAGTTAATTAAGTATGGTACCTCCTTCTGCCTTCTGATGGAATACGACTCAATCACCAGAAATGATACTGTAGAGTAACATTTAATGAAATGAGAAAATGATCAGGATATATTGATAAAATTTAAAAATAGTTACAAACTGTTATAGTAAGAAAGAAGAAAGTAATTTCTATACACAGCAAAATGAGGAGAAGGATATACAACCAAATGGCAATTCACTGCTGGTTTTATTTTCCTTATGCTTTTTGGTATTTTCAAAAATTTCTGCAACAAACATTATAGTGAGGAAATAGACCTTTGAGCCTTAAACCTGGAATTAAAACACTATTCTCTTGGCTGTGGCTCCAGAGTGTTTAAAAATTGAAATAGATTTGGTTCTCAACTCCTAGAAGATAACTTTGCTGAAGAAGATAGTCTGTGCTCCCCTAGAACGAGAGCAGTCAATGAAAAAACTCAGTGGATCCACCATTTGGATCCAACAACAACTGTGAGAAATACATCTATATACATATACACACAGGTATATGTATATACAGCTATATATGTATATATAGGTATATATAAAATCATTCTTCAGGAAACATGTCTACTTAAAGTTGAAAGTATGTAATTAGTGCTAAATCATTTTCATAGTGAGAAGTTTGGGAGACTCCTTTTCATTAACTGGGCTGCCACCCATTTTCTTATTCTGATCAGCTAATATTTTAAATCCATGAGTTTTTGAGAAATTATGTGTCTCTTCTCACATTTCTAAGTTGACTCCTAAAACTTTTACTGTAAGTTTAAATTATTGCAGAGAATACATTTACCAACATATTTTATATTGATACATGCTTTAAACATATATTTGTCAAAACTTTGGAGCAGAAGAATTAATTTATTAAATTTGTGGTAAACGTCTGCCGTAGAAGTAATTGACAAAGCTTGTCAGACCTATCAACCAAATCAGACTGACTTTCTAACAGAAAACGTCTGACTTCCTTGTTTATTTTAATAAACATGTTAAATCACATTTCATACTTCCTTACCTATAAATTCTAATTCATTAGGAGATAGACTGAGACAGAAAGACACGAGTTTGTTGCTGAAATAATATGGAAATAAGGTGCAGCAGGCACCAGTAATTCTTACCAAAGCTTCCTCTGCTTCGATCTTACCGGAGCCTCGCTCAGGAGCCACGCAGTCTCCAACACCACTGTTAGACAATACAATGAGATGAGAGATGAGATTAGGATTAGACGCATGAATTTCTTACATAAAATAAAGGAGAGTGACTGTGAAAGGACAGTGAGGCAGGGTAACCAGCCCGCCACAGCCATTCTCTCTGGGAGATTAGTTTGGAGAAAGAGTTCATGTAGAAGCTGAGGATCTGGAAATTGATTCCCTTAAAGATATCCATGACTCTGTAGCTACTGCAAAGTCTTGTGTACTTCCAAGTTTGCATGGACCCTTATTTGAAAGCTGCTATTTTGAACCCAAACAAGATAAACAACTAAAAATAGAAATGGATTTATTGTCAGGATACTAGCCTCGATACCAGAGCTTATAGTACAGTCATGCGCCACGTAACGAAGATTCAGCCAACGATGGACCACAAATACAACGGTGGTGCCATAAGATTAGCACCATACAGCCTGGGCGCGTAGCAGGCTGTACCTCGAGGTTTGTGTAAGTTTACTCTATGATGTTCACACATGGACGAAATCACCTGACTACACATTTCCCAGAACATTTCCCTGTCAAGTAATGCAAGACCACACAAAATACTCATGAGAACGTGTAGGATCACCTCTTTAAATGACTGAGGTTTTTCCTCAGATAAGATGCACCTTTTGAAGGTAAATCATGCAGACAAAATTCCCACAGTCATAAAGTCTCAGGCTGTAACATAAGGAAATGCCTCTGAATTATCCCCAAATTGCAGTGATTAAAAAAAAAAATCTGTTCTCCAGGACCTGGGCAATTCAGGTTTTGGGGTGAATATGTAAATTTTTAGTTATGATCCCCCTTTATCTTCTCCCCATCCCTATGCTTGGATTTCCATCATATACACAAGGCCTTCATTAGGTTGTAGTCTACAGGGTAGTAATTATTGTTATTAAATTGATTTTAATCTACCAGCAAATTGTTTTAGTGCATACTCCAGACAAGCAGTGTTCCAGATTGTAAGAAATGTGTTATCAAACCCCTCCTTAATGTCCATGAAATAGAGAAAGTGACTAGATGTGAATAAACCAATGGTATGTTGGCATTTCATAATAGTGTCTTACTCCATTTGGACTTAGAATGTTATAACAAACTACTTCCATTCAAGAAATCTGTCTAATGTTAGCTTAACTTTGAAAAAATTTATCTACTGCCTCTTCCTCCACTCCCCTATTCTTACTCCCACCCCCCAACTTTCTCGACTAGAGGCAGAGAGCTTTTCTCTGTACTTGCTGGAAACCATCAGTAGCCCAACTAGCATCAAGAGGATTCTCTTCTCTCTTTGTACCTACCTTCCTTGCCTACCCTGCCTATAATCGGTCACTCTGGCCAAGACCCTCTGTGGTCCAGCCATAATGGCCTTCTTTCTCCCCAACCCCAGGAATTTTCATAAGCTGGCCCATTTCTGGAATGTGCCTCTCCCTCCCACTCCCCACTAAACTACTCACCCTTCAGATCCCAGCATAGTTGAGAGGCTCCTGTTCTGTGCTCCTGCAGAGCCCTGAACTTCTGATCTCAGTTCATAATCATTTTTTTGTTTCTTCTATTATTTGATTAATGTCTGTCTCTCTCACTAGCCTTGAAACTATGTGAGGACAGAGTCTGGAATATCTTGTCACCATTGTATCTTCACGGTGCCTGGAACCTAGAAGAAGCTAAATAACTATTTGTTAATTATTTGTATGAATGGTCTGACCCTGCTTGAGAAACCCCAGACCTGGATCATCAAAGTGGATCCAGAAGGACAACTCTCTGAGTATGGTCTCCAGCCCCAACCATTGCCTTGCAAGGTCCAGGGAACCTGTAAGGTATGCAACGTTCCAGAAGATTTTTTTCAGAGACTTGCCTGGTTAATAGGGAGCCAATGAGACAGAGACTAAGAAATGTGCTTCCTGCATGGTCAGCACTACAACTGCTGCCTCCTGGCCTCAAGACTCTTCAAGGATCCTTTCTCTGGGGCCTCTCCACTTGGGCCTGAGTTTCATCTGTCTTGTTCACTGCTGAATCACGGGCACCTAGCAGACTGCCTGCCACCTAATAGGAGCTCAATAGACATTTACTGAATAAATCAGTGAATCAATTCATCCTGGACCCAAGGCCCCTCTTGGGTACAAATCCCCCGAAACTGCCCAGTAGCTTAAGGATTTGGCACCTGTGTACCATTTGACATCTTCCCACATTAATCTCACACTCTTTTTTTAATCACCATTTATTTTTTCTCCTTGACTCATTAACTTCCACACACAAACTACCATTTCACTCTCAGAAGTTGGCAGCAACATAACTTAGGTTGACCAAAAGAACTTACTGTTTTTCATAACCCAAAAAAGCAAACATGAAAAAAAACTGTCCTACTCTTTTCTCAGCCAAATGTGCCTTGGAAAGATTTGATTTTTGAGCCCAGAATCCAACTCTCTAATTATCTAAACAATTCCACGAGAACAAAATCCCATATTTACATATGCAAAGCAAGAATGAGGAATTAGAATACTTAATTTATTCACACAATTGAACATTAAAACAACTACAGATTCAGATACTATTTTTTGAAAATTCACATCTCCAAAGTGGCCTTATGATATTCTTCTTTACATAGCATCGTGATCCTCAATATCTTATCTCCAAACAATTGAGAGGAACTTAAATTTTTAGGTAAATATTTGGAATATGTTTGTAACTTGAGGTTCCATAAGCAAGGCTGTTAACTTACAGGCCTCTCAGAAATGAAGTCCTTGGGTTGCAAACATTTTGTTTCAATACTTCGGTGAGGAACAGGGAGGGGGTTGCATTGATGGCTTCATAGCTTTTTCTTCCTGGGTAGGCTCATTTAGGAGATGAAAGTGATTATTTCGGAATCCATTTCATTCTAAGCAAATGTCTCTACCCTGGGAAAATAAAACAGAGCAACTGCTGGCTAGCTCTTGAGCTATTGTTGCCATTTTATTCGGTGTTCTTCCTTATTACTCCCAATAGTTTAAATAAATATCCATAATAGTCCCCATCCTCCTTGTAGTCCCATATAAAACTTACCTCATTCAAAGAAACACATATTCTAATGAAATTATAACCCCTCTCGAGTCTTTCTAGGTCAACATTTAATGCTCTCTCTTTCTAATTTTACACCAGTTCATAGCAGAGCTAAGGTTCACCTCCATCCTGGAATGACACATTTTCCACTCAGCCATCTTCTTGCTGTTTAATGCTGAGCATCATTCCTGGTGGGATGTCTCCCAGGAGGTCACCTCCCATCCCACAAACACCCCTAATAAACTCTCCAACCTGTCCTGATCTACCTTCTCATGGCGTGTTAAAAGAAATTATTGGTAAAATAAGCTAAGGAGATAATGGAGTGGTAACTGAGAAACTTTCAATAAAGGGGAAAGTTAAAATATAATAATTAACACTATGCTTGGACCTTTGAGTTCATTTCTTTTCCCCAGTTTCACTTCTCTCTGCATATCTAAGAATCAACCTTTCTTTGTTTCACTAAGATTGGCTTAAAAGCTTAAAACCTCCCTTCCGCTAATTATCAAGGGAATCCAGGAAATAGCTAATTGAAAGACTTCGCATTCTTTTTTTTTCCCAACTGGTTGCATCATTTTATCCTTGTTCGAGGACTAGCCTCTGAAAGTACAAAGTCAAGATGTGCCAGTGTGTTGTGTGCATACCCAAACAAAGGCAATATTCCATGGGCTGGGAAAGGGAGAGGCAGAAGGCATTATTGGTGTGCACACTACAGATACAGGAATCTGACTACAATCCTCAAGTATGTCAACTTTGCCGAGATACCTAGCTGTAAAAATACCTGGAGAGATTCATTATTATAACCCTTTAGGTGTGCAATAAAAGGATTTGCTAGAAATCACTGAGTCTACCCTATAGACTAAAAAGTACAGGTGGGTTACCATGCAGCTGATTATAAATAACATATTTAAATAATACTATTGGGTCTAACATTTATTTTAAATTCTCCCCTACTAGGAATTAGCAAACGCTTGAACCATGATACCAAAGCAAGCATCTCTTGTCCACCCTCAAGATATTCTCTTGCATTCTGGAAATTGTGCTGTTCACCCTCTGAGGCCTCACCCTAGGATGGTCACTGCCTTGGATGGCAGTCCTAATTGCATAAAATTATTGCTCTAAGTGATTTGAAGGAGACTGTTTTTCTCCAAGAAGTTCTGCTCAATTCTGTACCTTTCACCGGTTACCTCTTTCCAGGGTTAATGACGTCACTCTGCAGCTCTCTGGACCTGAGTCTGTGAGATTGTCACCTAGATCTTTGGGACTTGCCTCACCCTCCTGTCTGGGTTAGGGCACCCTGGGCAGCTGCAGGAGGTGGAAAAGGAGGCAGGGGGCACTATTTACTCAGCTCTTTTGAGCGAGTTTGGTAAAAACTGAAAATAATCCCCCTTTACATGAATTCTGCCATCTTTCTCTGTCCTTCCTCACAAAACTTTTGCCCTAAAATGCTTCCACCTTTTGACACAGTAATTCTATTTTTGTGACTATATCCTGGAGAAATAATGTAAAATATACAAAAAGCGTTATGCCCAAAGATACTAAGAAAAGGATATCATTTTAATAGAAAAAATATAAATATTCTAAATAGCCAATAATAAAAGAATGAGTTACCTATGAGGTATCCATGGGAAATCATGTTTGTAAAAAGTTTAAAATAACATAGGTGCATATGGTATAATATCATAGATTTTAAAAATCTATGTATGTGCACTTTATTGGTTTCCTAATGCCGCTCTAACAAGTACCACAAACTTCGGGGCTTAAATAATACAAATGTATCATTAGACAGTTCGAGAGGTCTGAAGTCTGAAATACATCTCAGGGGCTTAAATCAAGGCAAATGCAGGGCAGCATTCCTCCTGGATGCTCTAGGGGAGAATCCATAGCCTTGTTTTTTCCAGCTTCTAGAGGCCACCTACATTCCTTAGCACGTGGCCCTCTTCCCCAGCAAGGTGCCGTCTTTCTGGCTTTCCCTCTTTTGCCTCCTTCTACCACTTTTAAAGAACCTTGTCCTAAATAATCCAGGATAATCTACCCATTTTAAGCTTAGTTGATTAGCAACCTTAATTTCACCTGCAGCCTTAATTCCCTTTTGCCATGTAATCTCATCTATTAGGATTAGGATGTGGATATCTTTGGAGGGGCCATTATTCAGGCTACATATACTGTGCAAGAGAAACAAACCGAACAACCAAACAAAACTAAAAACAAACAATGGCAAAACTAAGCATGGAAAATCTAGATGAAAATATGCCAAAATGTTTGCATTGCTTGCTAGAGTTGTGGGTTCTTGTTTTTATTCTCTTTGTTTTCCATGGTTTCCAAATTTTATTTTTTCCATGATTTATTATTTTCCAAATATTAATAAAATTTTTACTTTGATCATGGAAAACATGCCTTATCAAAAAAATTTTTTTAAATCCCTATGGCTACAATAGCCTCTTTTATCTTTTTACATGAATTTTCTCTTTTGCAAATAACCAACTAGTTGAAAGGAATGAAAGAATAATAAGTACAAAAAGTTATTGATTAGTACAATCCACCCTGAAAATATATAGTAACACCAAGCTCTCCAACTTGGAGAGCTCAGAATTGCATGTCAATTTGTGGCTATATGTCTCATCTCCCCAATTAAAACCAAACAATTTAAGAGCAAGTACAAGCCATATTTTTACTGTCAAATTGTTAGGGTGTTTAAAAGAGGGTATAATCATGATGCTTATACAAATATAAAATGAACATGTCAAAGATTTTATTTAACTCAATAATTAATGAGGGGACCAGTACGATGTTACAACCTGTTCAGAGGAGAATTTAAAGTACCATATATACATAATCAGATAAGAAATTCTGAAATAAATTTACAACTAGATGCCAACAGGTCTATTCACAGGGTTATAATCAATTTCATTCCACCAGACGCAATTAATTTACATTTCCATCGAGGGGCAAGAATCATTTGCATTATTATCAGTTTTCTACAACTTAGAGAGTTATAAAATAGCTAACAGACAATGAAAATCAGAGATAACCCAGAAGGTCATACTAACCAGGACAGCCAAGACTCACTTTTTTTGGGGGGGGGGGGGGGGGGCCATTTCAATATTTCACAATTTTTCCTGACACTACAGTACCTCACAAAGTACCTTGTATGTAGTAGGCACTGAGTATAAATTTGCGGTTTGAATGTTTAACTGAAAGATCAATTCTATCCTTACTGCACTAACCGTAGTGGAATGCCATGATCCTACTATTTCTCTCCTTTGTCTGACGCCCCCCCGTTCTTTGTCCTTTTTTCCAAACTACACTTAAGTTATAAGAAGAATGCTTCTGACTTCTGGGTTTAGCTGGACTTATTGGGAGATATTGCAGAAGGAGAGTGAGTAGCTGATACTGAATTATAACGCTAGCTTGGCACAATTACGACAAGAGGTGATCTCAGGCCTCATGAGCCAGAAATGATAGACTTTCTTCCCTATCTTGAGCAGAAACTGATGCAGTCCTAGAAAAGACAACACTCCAGAGCTGGCCGGGCGGCTGTCAGCAACCTGGCCTGGGTTATGCATCTAGATTTCAGCAAGATTTCCCTCAGGTCTTCCAAAGGTGAAATAAGCTATATATTTTCCAAAAAATTTAAAGATTTTCTTTTAAAAATCTTCATTTTTAAAGAATCTATTCCCATACCTCAGCAGAGAATCGTAAAAGTAGATGGACTTTTCCTTCAGGAGCTAGAGAAATTAAATCACTTATGAACTCTTGGTCTAAGCCCATGATATTTTCTAGATGGGTAAAAAAGCAAAAATTAAGTGCAATTAGAATTCCAACTGAAGTCATCAAAATATGAACACTATAAGGAAATAAAAAATCTATGAAAGATTCCAGTTACATCAACAACTTTTTTAAAAAGTAATTATTGTATCAAAAAAAAAGTGATGTATAGAAAGATCTCAAGGCAGTCTTGTAATTAGTATCAGAGGCAGTCGACTCTGGTACCCTTGGATGCACAGCAAACCAAACCAAACCAAACAAGATAAGATGCCTCATATCTCGCCAATTAAAACCCTGAACAAAGTGCAGAATGATCTATCCACATTAAAACAAAACAAAACTCCATAACCATTTGTAATTTCCCCTCAACCAAAGCAATTTTGTGATTTGAAAGAATCAATTTTGTGATTTTTCAAGATATTGGAAAAAAAAGCTTGGCATCACACCAACAATCAGCCAGCATCTTGGCACCCATTCAGATAGCATCCCCAACCACCAGTCGTAGTAATTCTTCTCATTACAGTGTTTGTATGCACATAATTCAGAGTCAGGTGAATTTACAATGTGTGGTGAACTGTCAGACGTTGAGCGGCCAGCAGATTGTCTTAAGTGATACAGGATTCATGCCTTTGAGCAGCATGTAACTCTCAGAGTGAGTGGACTATATCTCAGATGGCCCTTCCTCAACCTTCTTCCATTTCCATAAACTGATGAGTTTACGTGCGACAATTTGAATTTTTGATTTTTACTGTTGCCTGATTTTAATTCTAAGTGAATCTTGTAACTTAGATCAAGGGGAGGAAACTGTATGCCATCATTTTAAATGAGGTCTGAATTTTTTTAAGACCAAAGCTCCCTTGGTGCAGAGGCAGCATGTCACCATGTTCCCTCAGAGGGCCGCCCATTTAACACTTCCAGCTGCAGTGTCTGTGGGCATTTGAGCTCTTTCTCTTCCCGCTAAGCCTACAATTTCCAGGTGCACTTCAAACAGACTGAGAAAGATTGGCCCTCGACCGCCTGCATTTCAAGCCTATCCTTCACATAGGATCTAAGCAGCCGCCACATTAAACAGGAACCCATATGTCAAGATCCAAACTGAGAGGGAAAAGGTAACAAGCAGACCTGAGCCAGGGGTCATTTATGATTAAGTTAATGAAATTCTAATTAGGCTTAGAAAGCCCTGAAGTATTTCCTGCAATGGCTTGTCATAAAGCCTTTGTCCAAGGAAAGCCAGAGTGCATTAGATGTGGGTCATGTAGCATGTTGTCACATAGACTCGTATTTATATTCCCTCTTTTACAGTCAAGCAAACTCTTAAAGGCAGAAAGGTAATATGAAGCACTGAAGGAAAAAACACAGCAATCTGTTCAGACCCAATGTGATACTCACTCAGGGGACATCCGGGTAATTGTTCAATTTCTCCTGATTTACAAAACAGATTGTTATCGGCCTAATAATGTCTAATAAATGCACCAAAGAACATTTCTGGCCTGCTGTCCAGGTCGTTTTAAGAGTGGAATTGTCATTAGAATTAAAAACATCCCAGAATTGAAAATAGAACATTATTAAAAGTAAGGACCCCTACTTAATTAAGCATGCCCACTCACAGGCATTGAGCAGTGCCCTGAGCAGAGCAGAGGGAGAGATGAAGACCACTTAGCAAGTGGCCAGTGTGACTGAGAGTGAGCCTCCATCAATCCAGGGGGAGAGATCAGGCGACACCTGCAGTGGGAAGAGTGCAGTGCTCACGGAGGCAGCCAGAGCAATCTATTCTGAAGTGTTCTGGCTGGAAAAACTATCTCAAGAGAGGGGAATAGAAAGCAATGTGTTTACTAAAAAAAAAGACAAGAGTCAAAGATAAGTCCATGTTCAGACTCACTTTCACACTTTTAGATTTAATTAGCTTATTAGGATAAAGTCATATTCTAAAGGCAACAGCTTAAAAAATCTTTGGGGGCCAAGTTTCACACTTATATCACTCCAACTTGGACTTTCTTGACTCAATTTACTGACATCTCATTACGCTTATAATTCTCCAAGCAATGTGTGCAGGACCTGTGCATGCCTGCTGATAGGCCAGCCTACAAGCTGACGCTTGAGGTCTTAAGTTCCATGCCCTTTGCCACTCTGGCTACATCTGGCTACTTTCCTTTGATTCTCTCATTGGAAAAGATTTCCAGGGTTATTGATCTCCTGCTCTCTCTTGGCCCTCCAGTTCAGCAATTGCAACATGAGATAACCTTAAAAAAAACAAAGCTTTGATAATGACATTAATAATATTTCTCTCTCTTGGAGCACTGTATGAAACATAGTTATTTCTATTGGATTATTTCATTTTATTCTTTTAAGTACCCTTTGTGGAAAGTACTGTTCATACCTCCATTTTAAAGATGAGAAAACTGAGGCATAGAGACAGCAATAATTTTGGGGGGTCATGAATTTAAACGGAGGTCTCTCTGACATTCAAAAGCCGTTGTACCTAACCCCTTCACTCACACTCCCTGACCCACTATGCCATGTCTTCTTGTCTCAATTTTCTAGGAATTTGGGATGCCTATTTAACTATTGCACAGTAAATAATTTTTATAAACACTGCCCTGAAAAAATAAGTATTGCCCAGCATCCCTCTGGGCTTAATATATTTATAACAAGAGCAGTGACAAATGATGATGATGCAGACTTGCATAGAAAGGACCAATTGTTCTAAATTGCAGGATGCGTTCATCAGTCAGCATGATTAAACTGTCCTCACTTAAAATAAAGCTCTTCACTCCCTCTCAGTCATGCCCACTGTCCCCAACTGTTACCAACATCTGAAAGAGCATCTCCAGCTTGAAAAACTCAGGGCTTTCCTGGAAGAAAACTTCCTGTGGAAATACACTACAGAAATCAAAGAAAATACATGCAGGTTTTTAGGTCCATGATTGTCTATTTTAAGCCATGTGGGTGGGCATGTGTTCATCTGGTTTGTCAAGGTATCTTGAAAAATAAAGGATAAGGCTTTAATAAAAAAAATACGTAAGCTGGAGATAAGAGTACTACTCAATTATGATTGACAAATTAAAATCATTATTAATCATTTAATAATCTAAATTACATTGATGCTATCAGAATAAGTAACACTGATTCAGGCTAAGAAATTAGAGCATATTCGGGTTGTGATTTTATTTTTGTTATTTTGTTTTGTAGTTCTTTTGTGGTGTGGGGAGGATCACTGACTAACTGCTATGCAACTAATGAGAAACACAAGACAAAAATCCCAACAAGAAACTAGTATCCCTAGACAATATTTTAGCTTCCAACCCTATCCTTCCCTTGACAATTCCTTGAGACATCATTAGCCGCATTTTGTAGATGAAGGGACTCAAACCTGGAAGGTTTAAGTAATTTCCCAAGGATACCCCGACAGAAGGAGTTGAGTAAGGATTTCAACTTTGCTCTCTCTTGCCTCATCTTTTGCACCTACTAGCACTTCTCCCAAGAAAGATCATAATGCCCTCTCCCCATCTCTATATTTGCCTGGATAATTCTTACTGGTCCTTCAGGACTCAACTTAGATGTTATTTTCTCTAGGAAGCCTTCCCTGGAAGCCCACGTGTGGATTGAGCGCCTCTTATATGTGTTCCCATAGCACTCTAGACACACCGCTGCCCATCACAGCACTCTTCGTGGTAGAACAGAGTTGTCTATTTTCTTGTGGGTCTTCTCCCTCCCATTCCCAACCACTGCTTGGAAGTATCATAATTACTAGGGACTACAGTTTATTCAGTCTTCTGTCCCCAGGGTCTAGCCCAGTGCCTAGCATATCAGAGGCATTCCTCTGAACAAAAATCCACGGTTAACTGAATGGATATAGACTCCAAACCCACGTACCCTGCTGCCACAGGTTAAGTGGCCTCTCAGCCTGCAGCACACTGCCTCTCAGCTCAAGTGTGTGGCAGCACTGAGCACAGGGCCAACGGGAAGTCAGCATTCAGTAAGCATTCTCATTAGTTAAATCCAGGTAGAGTACCCAAAGGTCTGAGCCAATTATGTCAGAGAAGGGCATGAGCTTTCTCATATTTCAAATCAATTAAGACTTTGTCAATAGCACAGCAGTTTAGTTCTAGTATTGAAAACACAATTATTTCCTCATTATTTAAATGGAAGGAAAGCATGGACTGCATGTGGCTTACTTAGCGGCAGTACAACTACAACGCTATTTTATAAAATTCAATCTAAGTAGATATGACTAAAGATTACTAAGACTAAACAAGTGAAAATAAGCTCTCCTTTTGGTTTTTTACAAATCCCAGTGCTTTGCAAGGCTACTGGTGAGAATAAACAGGGAAATAAAATCACTCTCATTTCAGTGAGAAATGCCACCACAGTGGAAGACTTGGTTGAAAAGATACCTGAGAATAGTTTAAAGAGTGGGGAGAAAAACACAGTGGGCCAAGAGAATTAGCCCTGAGATACTGAGAAGAGAACAAGGAAGTAGAGATAGAAAAAAAAGATGACAGAAAATTAAGAGGAGAAAGTCTTATTCTTCAATCCTCTGGGCTTCTCTCCCCACCCAGCCACCACATTCCCTTGGGTATACAAAAGGCCAAATCCAATTACCACCTCTACACAAATGCCTCCTGTGGTAGGCAGCATAACACCCCCCACCCCACCCCCAAAGATGCCCGTGTCCTAATCACTGGAACCTGAGAATAGATTACCTTACACGGCCAAAGTGGATTTCCAGGTGGGCCCAATGGAATCACAAGGTTCCTTATAAGTGAAAGAGGGAGGCAGGAGAGCAACAGAAATATCTGAAGATCCTACACTTCTTGCTTTCAGTTGAAGGAAGGGTCCACAGACAAAGGCATGCAGGTGGTATCTAGAAGCTGAAAAAGGCAAGGAAACAGATTAGCCCCCTAGAGGCTCCAGAAGAAATGCAGCCCAGTGAGACCCATTTCAAACTTCTGACCTTAGAGCTATAAGAGAATAAATCTGTGTTGTTTCAAGCCGCTAAGTATGGAATAATTTTTAACAGCAGCTATAGGAAATTAATACACCTCCCAAATTTGCTTCATGAACCTGAGCCCCTGACTTCACGCTGTTAGCACCTCCATTCCAGTTTTCCCCTGACAATTCCAGTGCAACATATCCAAACTACACTCATCATCTTCTCCCAACTATGGCTCGTCTCCGAAACTCTCCCACATAGTCTGTTACCTTGGCTTCCTTTCAGATTGAGACTAGATGCCTGTGACTCTTCTACGTCCTTATCCTCTCTCTCCAATCTGTCTCCACTCTTGTCAAGTCCTTTTGACAAAAGTCTACCAAATAACAATTTTTTCTACTCCCATTGTCATGATCCTAAAAGGAATCCTAATTCTTCAAAGATTTAAACTCTAAAGGCAATTTAAGGTGACTTGCATAGGAAAAGATAACAATGAAAGAAGAAAAGGCAAGAGAGAAGAGAACAGGGGAGGAACACTTATGTACTGCTTATTCACAGTTCTTGACTCAACCATCAGGCAAGAAGAAGGGATTCTCCAACAGGCAGTGCATGTTCATCATTTAAGCTGATCTAAGAATCTTCCAAATATGAAAATATATGTTTTTTATGGTTAGAGAAAATGAGGAAGACTTGTAGAGAAAGTGAGTGAAACAAAATCCTTCCAAAAGTGTCCCCAAAATGCTGTTCTACTTCACGGGGCATCAGACTTTTACTTGGGACACCACCACAACGTTCACCAACACCATATCCAGGATGCGACTATGGCATACATGAGGATCCTCCATCGTGCCATAGCAGAGCAGAATCAGGTTCCTGGATTCCAGTCATTCCCTAAGATGATGGATTTCAGCAGCTAAGAGTTAGTTCATGGAAGGGCTGGCTGACCTAGTTAAGATAATATTCCATTCTGTAAAAGTTGGTGGGAGAATAAAATGTCACAAAAGTTCAGTTAGATAGAGAAACTCTCTAAAAGACAAAACTCTTTCCAATAAAGGAGGACAGTTCACTTTCTAGTGACAGCTTGTCACTTTCCAAGAGAAGTGTCTTTGCATAGGCAGTCTCAGGACACCAGATACTATGTCTGTCCTGACATGCTCTATAAATCTAAAAAGTTACTCAGTCCTGAGTTTTGGAAAACTATATCTGTAGAGACATATATGCTATTATGATCTTTATAATATTTTGTTATTTATGGCAGCCGTTCAGAATGTGTGGTTTCTCAAGACAGATGAAAATAGTGGACTATCTCCCAAGAGTGAATCCTCAGCACTGCAATGGGCATCCCCCAAGCCTTGGAAGCACTACCCAAAGTCATGCTATAGTTATTGGATGTGCATCCTATAGTCTCTGAAGGCAGTAACCAATGACTTGCTACAGTTCTGGGCCCCAAGCCTTATGGTAAACCCTGGTGAGGATTTGCACCCCAAGAGCATCATCCATTCCAGATTATACTCTAACCTGAGCCCACTTCTCTTACGATTTTAGCCAATGGCAATCTGCACTTCCTAAAGCCAAGCAATGTTTTGAACTTTGATTTACATGTAAATCATAGCACAGCTTTATAAATTTAATTATTGGGAATGCATGTAAATAAGTGTTTTAATAGTAAAATATCTGCATTTCTCCACTTCCCTCCCCCTTTCCTTCTTGCGTTCTGTGGCAAGAAGTAGTATGAAACAGACTAAGAAATGGATCAAACATGTGTTCCTCTCCCACCCAACAGGCAGAGTTTAGGTCAGCACAAATTTAAGCAACTCATCAGTATCAGTATCCAAAATTTCAGTGCTCTTATCCCCTCTAAATGGCTGTCCAGGAAGTGGTCCATCTGAGCCCAAGATGGAGTGTTCTTCCTGGTTCTGCTAGTAAAACTTCTTCAGTAAATCAAACTACCGATGAAGAATACTGCTGACATTCTATATACTATATCCGGTCACATTTGAAAAATAGGATCCACACTAATTATCAGAATTTTAGGAAGAACCCTCTCCTTCTTGTAAGAAAATTGAAGCCAAAGAAAATATTTCATTAACTGAATCCCATTCAGGAGATATTCTTTCTTGAGCATATGCTTCTGATTGCTTCTACCTCAATCTTAGTTTTAATTGTTGAGATTAAAGCTTGGGAAAAACCAAAACAGCAGAAATAATCATTTTAAAAACATAATATTCATGTGTAGATGAAATGTCTGAAACTAGGGCAGTGAGTAAGTTTGCTAAGAAACAGGAGAAGGTATGCTGCCATCAGGCTGAAGCACACGAAATACAGACTCCCCAGGGTCTCACACATACCACCTTCTGTGGAACTATATCCACAGGTCTGTAAACTGTCATGTTTGAAATGTCCAAGTAAAGAGTTATAAAAGATGTACCCTTAGCTAAATATTCCACAAAAACATGACTCTCAGGGTTGGCCTGTATAAATAGGTCATAGAGATTTAAGGAGATATAAATAACTTCAAGTTATACCATATGTGGCTGATGCATTTTGTTCAGTTTTGGTGAGAAATATTATACTCCGTTTGTGCGGGGAGTTTTCCCCGTTTGGGGCATAGGACTGGTGAAAATAACTGGTCTTCTTCTTCAATTCCTGACCATTCCCCTCTCCATTTGGCTTTTGTCCTCTGGTCTATTAATATGTTTATTTTACATTAATTGATTTTTTTGATGTTAAAAAAGTCATACTTTTTTTACATTGTAGCACACACATTGTTAATTTTTAAATTAAAGTAATTTGAAATCAAGTCTATTCTATGAACTTAGGGAAATAGTCATAGCATCCTTTAGACAAGTGCCTTAATTTGAAAAAAAAGTCAGATGATGAAAGAAGAAATGTTTGATCTAATCAAATGTCTGGATTTTTTTTTAAGTAAAACCTAAAGAGATGCTCCTGTGGTCCACAGAATTTGACATCGCTGATGACCAGAGTTGCTCTCCTTATCCAGAATTGCTACCTTAAATCAAGACTATGCTCTAGACAAATACTCTTGCATGACAGAATTACAGTCTGCCTATGATCAGCCACAAGAACCGAGTCTACAACCCACACAAACAGCAGCAGGAAAAGTAAGGCAGCGTATTTCCAAATACGATCAAGTACATTTGAAATGTCAACTGCTGAGCAAACGTTTCATGGTGAGCCAGATTCTCTTCAGGGGTTAAGTCACCCAGAGTGCAAGACGTAGATACGTAGAAGGGCCCAGGGATGTGAATGCTTTGGGGAGACCAGGGTAACATTTTCCCAACTGCTCCAAACAGCAAATGTCTTTGTGAGATATTATAGGTGTTTCTTAAAAATTCATTTTTTTTAAAAGATTTTATTTTTCCTTTTTCTCCCCAAAGCCCCCCAGTACATAGTTGTGTATTTTTAGTTGTGGGTCCTTCTAGTTGTGGCATGTGGGATGCCGCCTCAGCATGGCTTGATGAGTGGTGTCATGTCCGCGCCCAGGATTCGAACTGGCGAAACCCTGGGCCGCTGAAGCGGAGCGTGCGAACTTTATCACTCTGCCACAGGGCCGGCCCCTTAAAAATTCATTTTTGAAGTCATAGAAGCTGAGGAAATTCTCACTTTACTCTAGGACTTTCCCTTTGCTCTGCTAATGTGTGTTGGGACTCTCTAAAAGCGAATCATATTCTACAGCCTTCTCAAGACTTCTTTGACCAAAGAACCGTTTCACAGAATTAGCATCTCATGGGGATCCATAACGCTCCAAGGTACATAGTTTGGAAAATGTTGCATCTATGTAATGTGATAAAGTCCATGGAGCAGTAGTTACACAATAAGAGCCAAGAGACGATCATTGTAAAGCAGTCCTATGACCTGCCAACTAAACCCACGGAATAGCATCAAGTATTTTCCTATCCCAACTCTCAGGCTTCTAGGACTCATCAGAAGCGGCAGGTTTGAGCCAAGTGACAAACAGTTGTATTCTCTAACACCATTTGGGAGGATTTCTCAAGATCCCTTCCTGGCCTGTTGCTCAAATTTTCTGCAATTGTACATTTTTGGTGCCAGGACTATCTGGCTGTACATTTAATTTTCCTTTTTGTTTCAGAGCCTTATCATTTCATCAATCAGAGCTATTCCATCTGCTGAAATGCTGACAAATCCAGCTGCTTTGTCACTTCTAATCAATTTCATTAATGTTTCCACGTTCTGTTTCAATTAGCAGCCTCTTCTCTGGACTGTTTGATGACTTGATACTACCTACCGTCTACAGATTAAAAATCAAATTACAAGTTTCTTTGTCCTTGACATTAAAAATCCTTCCTTCTTTACCAAATCTCTTCTACTTAGCACATTACCCCTCTTAAGTAAAATTACATTTTACCATGCTGTGAAGCAAGGGGTTCAATTGCTAGACAAGGAACAGATCTGTACTGGGATGTTCATCCTGACATTTATTTAATCCCTGTGCCCTCATTCAGAATTGAATCCTTTTTCATCTAAGTCTTTTCATCACCGTGAATTTTTTCAGCACATTAAACACCTGCTTGAAATGTTATTTACTTGGTCATAATCCTCAGGCATTTTTCTAATTCATCAGACACGATACCTACGTTGTCAATTGTCTGCCATTCTTGACTTTGAAAACTGTTGAAGACAACCAGTTGGACAGAATCATCCTTGTTGCTGACTATGTTACCATGTAAACCCAAGCAATTATCAAGTAGTCATTTGAATACTGTTCTTCAAGCAGATCTAACATCTCTGCCTTTCTTCTCTTTCTGTATTTCACAAAAAAATCAGTCTGTGCTTACTTATTTTAATTGTATAAAAGTGTATCGATTTCTATTTTTGTAACAAAATGCAGAAATAGCATAGAATTTTGACTGTCCTTTCCCATGCTTCATGTTACAACCGACAGCGTGGAGCTTTAAGTAGCCTAAAGCAATACACCAACAGTGCTGTGGGTCATATTTTTAACTTTAATGACAATCTGTAATTGCCTGCAGCCTGCCTTATTTCTGGCCCTGCTGATTTCTTGAGGACCTGTGATAACACAGCTCCATCTTGGCACTCTAATCTGCCTCATGCCCTCCTTCATGTGTTTTTTATATTTTCTCAGGGTTATCAGGTCTAACAGTAAAGCAGTCAGAGTCCACAGCTCTACCTCCTTCTTCAGGGCATTCCGAGGAATTAGAATTTCCTTCCAGCCTGCAAGCTTTCATAACCGTCTGCCTTTTCCGGTGGCTGGGAGTGCTAAAGGTTTGAATAGCAGCGGCTTTGCCTCAAATTGAACTGCCCGATACCAGGCTTGAAATCCCTGTTAGCTTTAATCTTTTTGAGACATTTGAAATTTTCAAAATACCACTTGTCAGAATAAGTTCCTTTCTCCTCCAGTATAACTGGATCACGTTTGGATTGTACTTAAGAGATTTTATTGTTATTTCATTCCTTTTAGAAATATTACCTTCATTAAACATTTATAATGAACATACATGTGTCCATTTAGTCAACAAATATGTACTGAATACCATTTATTTGTTAAGTACCGTCTTAGAAGATAATAGAATTCAACAGGAAACAAAGCAGACATTGTCACTGTCCCTCCAAAGAAGCTTAGTCCAGCGGGGGCCTACCACACTTGATGGGACAGACATGATTGCTAGAGAGGGAGAGGTAAGGGGCTATGATATTATCATTAAACAACGATTCTCAATAAAGTGAGAGGCAGCATAGAATGGTGGTCAAGAGGGTGGATGCAGGAGCCAGAGCATCCAGTTCAAATCCCGTTCCATCATTTATGAGCTGTGACCTCGGGCACGTTACTTAACCTCACTGTGTCTCATTTGTCTCATCCATGGGTTGGGGAAACTGACAGTTCTACCTCAAAGGTTTGTTGTGAAGATCAAATAAGCTAATGTTATAAAGTACTTAAAACAGTGTCCAGCACATAAAACGTGCTATAGGAGTACTTGTACAATTAAGAATTAATAACAGATTGTAGGAAAGCGCTATAGTCTGGGAAGCTGGGGAGTATATGTTGCTCTGAGGGCTCAGTGCAGAGGTGGCTAAGCTAGTCTGGGAGAAGCCACGGAAGGCTTCGTAGAAGAAGTTGAGATCTGAGGAGTAGGAGTAGCCCCTGCAAAGGTGAAAAAAGGGAATCATGTATCTGCGTAGCTAGAACCTAAAATGTCCACTGAAGACAGGTAAAAATATGAAGGGAACATTTTAGAGACCAACCTGAAAAAGTTTGGACTTTAAATTCCTGAAAGCCAGAGATCAAGAAGACATATAATAATAATAACAATACTGTAGCAAATTATAAACATTATGGATAAAACAATAATATCCCAAAATGCTAAAATTCAGAAGATCCTTTAGATACTTGAAAGAGCAAATATAGAGCCATTAAAGGAAGTGCTGCTACTTCCCTGATTGTAAATTCATGAAGCTGATTTCCCAATGAAGTGACATGGATTCAAAATAAACAGTGGTGTCTTGGAAAAATCTAGAATATTCTAGAGATAGATCACTACTTCTCAAGCTGGTATCACCTCCCCCAGCCCTGCAAAATGAAACATAAAAATCTCTGGGCTAGTTGGAGCAAGGGCTCATTCTTAGGTCAGTAACTCTTTTTATCAGGTCTTCTTAGGAGGTTCCAGGAACTGAATACAATTTTGTGGTTTTTGCAAGCCACACTACCTACGTGAAGATGAATGTTGATGGCTTACATGTTGCCGTTTCAGTCAGTGACCTAAAATAGACTCCATGTTCTACCCCAGGGTACTACTCTATTTCCATCAGGTAGAATCATATGAAATTGCCATTTTCGTAAGTCAAAAATGATTGAATACCAGCAGTTTTCCATGGTTAAGCCGAACACATGTTTTGGGAAATTTTAAGTTTGTTGTGACACTTTTTGCTGAAAGATAACCTACAAGGACTGCCGGTGGTTTCTCCACCTCTCAGGGAACAGTTAAGTAACCCAGAGCTTACCACTTCATAGTGAAACTTTCTTTATAGATGTGCTCTAGGTGTTGGAAAATTTGTCTCCTTACAGTGAGCCAAACTGTGCTGTTCTATAAATTCTACCCATGTTACCAGTTCTTTTCTCTGAAGTTTCTCCTCCCACCAGAAAGTTCTGGACATCCCCTGCATTCTCTAGTTTTCCTGGCTGCATATCATCAGCAAATTTGATTAGGATGTCTCTCGTACTTTACCTTTAACCCGTGAAACAGCACTCTAGACGCAGCATTTCAGCCTATTGAGCCAACCTGCACATAGAGATACTCACTCTACACATAGCACCCTCTAACTGCGAACTCCGTAGACCTGAGATACCATACCCAGACGTGGCATGTTTATCTGAAAAAGACCCAGCATTACTTTAAAGAAAGACTTTACGATTTTAGTGCCACAATACTGTGATGACATTGTTTTAAGTCTATGTCACTATTTCAGTCATGCAGTTGATGGCATAGCGGTTTGAGAGGAGCAGTCACCGTATCTGTGGTGAATGCTTTGTGATGCAAACAACGGAAAACAAGACAGAGAGCGGCTAGACAACAAAGACTTTTAAAATAATTTCACAAAACGTGACTATGGAGGTAGGTGTTTCATGAGCTCCATAATGTCAGGACATGGGAAGGATGGAGGATCTCTGAAATTCTCCAGGATGCCTTTCATTGTCACAAGATGGCTGCAGCAGCTCCAACAACCTTGAGCTTACCTGAAAGCATCCAAAGGAGGAAGCAAGGAGATGGAGAAGGGAGAAAAAAAAATAATGCCTTCTTTGCCTGCATGGTTTCTTATTAGGAAGGACAAACTTTTGCAAGTGACCTTACAGCTTATTAACTAAACTGGATCACATGCCTGTACCCTACACCAGTGCTTCTCAAAATGTGGTCCTCAGATCAGCAGCATCAGCATCACCTGGGAAGTTGTTAATAAGACAAATTCTCAGACCCCATCCCAGACGTACTGAATCAGAAACTCGAGAGTTGGCGCCCCGGATTCCGGGTTGTAACAAGCTGTCCAGGTGATTCTGATTCATGCTAAGGTTTGAGAGCCACTGCCCCAATCACTGGCAAAGGAAAACCAGATCATTTACCCATCATTATTCATCCATTGGAACTGGGCGTACTGGGGCCTGAATTAAAATTAGGCTTCTGATGGCAAAAAGGGAGGAGAGGAAGGCAGAGGGAGGAGTGGAAGTGGAGAAAAAAGACGAGGGAGAGGAAGGAGCCAGAGGGCCCCAATCCTCACGGAAATGGAGATTGGAAGTAGATCTCAGCTCAAATTGAGCCTATGGCCTGAGAAGAACCTAAAATTATTGATTTTTGCCGTTTAGAGGGAAAAAATACAACTAATAAAAAGCTGAAGGAAATCAGTTTTCTAATGAAAAATAGACTTGATTATTCCGCTTCAAATGTAATTTAGGAGTGTAAGTACCACACCATGCATATTTGCCAAGAAATGATACTCACTGCAAAAATCAGTCGTTAATTAGAACTTCAGTAAAGTGCCAGATTTCACAGGGAGTGTGAGATGGGGAAAGAACGTCATTTAGCAAAATGCAAATCAGTGGGTTTGCGTTTCTTCCTACTTTTGAAGAACTGGCTTCGCATCTGCAAAACACTATTAGAGAATGCACAAAGTTTAGTTTCCAACCGTCTACAGCCATACTGCCCATATGGTAGCCACCAGGAACTTGTGGGTACTGAGCACATGAAATGTCACTCGTGCTAACCGAAATGTGCTCTCTAAGCATGAAATAGACACTGAATTTCAAAGATTTAGGACAAAAATAGGAATGTAAAATACATCACTAATAATTTTTATATTGCTATGTGAAAATGATAACATTGTAATATATTAGGTTAAATAAAATACAGTATTAACATTAATTTAATTTCACCTTTTTCCTCTTTCTAGAACATTTAAAATTACATGTGTATGAGGCAGGCCTGGTGGCGCAGTAGTTAAGTTCACGTGCTCTGCTTCAGCAGCCTGGGGTTCGTGGGTTCAGATCCTGGGCCTGGACCTGGTGCCACTCATCAGGCCATGCTGCGGTGGTGTCCCACATAAACTGGAGGAGAATTGGCACAGATGTCAGCCCAGCGACTGTCTTCCTCACAAAAAAATGAATAAGTAAAATTTAAAAAATAAAATTACATATGTAGTTTGCATTATATTTCCATTAAATAGCACTGATAGGTTATATCTTTGATGTAGTAAATCTACTTCAGTTGAACTCATGAAACCTTTTTAAAATATCAACCAGGCAAGTCCAAAAAACTAGGTGGAATTTGTGGTTTCCTGTAACATAGGATCTGAGAGATTCTGGTGGGAAAACATTCCCATCCACAGGTTCTTTATTATCTGCAAGAATTAATGTCTTCAAAGTAACTACATCATCACCTACTATGTAAATATACTCATGAGAGGACTGACATATTAAATATAAGTAACCTGGAGATGGGAAAAGACTTTCCAAGATTTCAATTTCCAAATCTTCCCTTGCCTAAAAAGCAATTCATCTGCTCAAGAGCAAATGCAGTCAAGATGTTAACCCAGTTCCAGGTTCTCACTTTTCCTTTTGTAATAGCTCTCCAACCACTTTACAAATAAATAAATAAAGTACTTCTCATCCTTCACAAATAATATAATGGTACATTTCCTGGTATGGCATTAGGGGGATATTTAATAATGGATCAATTTGGTATTGGTGTGGAGAAAGTGAATGGTTAGATGACATTCTTCTTGTAAGTTGTTCAGGTAGTTTTTTTGCTTCCAACAAAATCGAAGCAAGAATCAAATCCAGTTTTCTACTGATAGTTTATTTTTAAATGTTCTAAGGAGAAATCACTAAGTAATTTTTTTTGCATACAATTCAGAAGTTCAAAAACTTGTGCAATGTTGTCACAACAATATTCCTTCTAATGGCAATCTATTTGTGTGGACAAGATTTGTCAGCATTTGCACATGTAAAAATTAAAAATGGGGTGTTATTAATGCTGAAGCTTGTTTCATTTTATCACGAAAGGATACTAAGCTAACTGACTTTTTAAAGCCCCATATAACTCATTAAAAAAATTTATTTCCAATAAAATTTTATTTTTTAAGTTTAATAGTTATCAAAGTTTGTCATATATTTATGTCAAGTTCATGTTAATAGTACTTTTAATGGTAATATAGCTGGAGAGGAGAGTAATTTTAACCTGGAACCTTATGAAATTTTTTAATGTTAAATTTCAATTGATAAACATGTTCTTGTTGCAGAGAAATATAATGAAATAATCAATAAGACAAAAATTCTATGAGAGAAATGGAATGGGAGTAGAAGTTCAAGGAAGAAAAGGAATAATGTAAAATTTCCAGCTGCTAAAAGAGGGCTTGTCCATCTATTTCTTAAGTGGATAATGGTAGGTAGACATCCAATCTCATGGTCTCTCATTTCATTGGACTCATGTAATAATTTAACTGCTTTATTTTAAAATATCAATATATGTAATTAGTAGAAAATTACATTATTTGAAGCTACTTAAACTTATACTGAAAGATTTTAGATGTCAACTTAAAACTGTGCACAGTGAAATAGAATTTTTCAAAATTATGTTCCAGTGTATGTGAGGTGGAAAGTTTGAAGACGCCTTGGTTCTGAACCCTATCTGAATCAAAGCCTTAAATGTCCAGCCCCACCCAGGAAAAATGCAGTGAGACTGTCTGGGAGCCCCCTCCCCACCCAGCCCGCTCACGCTGTAGTCACAGGAGGCGGCGTTGAGAACCACTGCCATCGGGTGAAATGAAATAGTTTTTCCTCTCACATTCAAGGAGGGAAAGGGTCTAGGAAAGCAGATAGAAGCAGGTACAGGACAAGACTGAAAGAGGAGAAGCAAGGAGAGAAAAAACCCCAGGAAACAAAGGGCATTAAAAGCCATCCCATCCCATCCTAATTTTGCCAAAGGATAGCCCCGCCTCTAATCAATAATGATTTAGTTGTTACCGGTGACTCTTGGAAAGCACATTTGTTCTTTTTTATTTTTCGTATTATTGTAATATTTTACAAAGCAAATGTTCAATAAATATCACTTGAATGAATGAATTCTTGTTGCTCATCTGATAATAAAACATCTTTTATCTACTGAATATTGATTCTTACCAGCTTTATGCCAATTCTTCCTCCACAGTCTACTTAACATTCAGTCCAAGAAAGAGCGGCCTCATCCTTGTTTTGGGTTTAATGCCGCAGACGCCAAGGACTTGGGAATAGACATTGTTCTCTATCTGTTCAAAAACGCTTGCTCCTTTGCTCTAGTATATTTCATTTTAGAATTCCCCCATGATGCTTCTCATACATACAGTCTCATCCATCCTTTTTTTAAGCCAACTTGTTGGTGGTAAATTGCATACTTCCTTTGTTCTGGCATCACTGGATTCTGACACTCCGTAGGTAATTGGTATTGTTGTTTGGTGCCTCCATCGTTGACAGTTGTGGCAATTCCTTTAAACAGTAGCTCACCTGTGGGTACTGAATAATTCCATAAGCCTTCAAAGGCTGTCAGAAGGCACTTTCTTGAAATTTTATCATTTCATGAACAAACATGAAATCCTTGGTAAAGTCATGGGTTTCTTTCTGTTTACTGTTCCAGAAGCCATTCCCAATTTGACAAGCTGCAACACACATTTGCTATGAACGTTTCCTTTCAGCTCATATAAGCATGATGCTGAAGACAGCAGCCAAAATATTTCCCCACTAGAGGAAGACAATTTATTGTGAAGTACATTTCATTGATTTCAAACAAAACTTTTCAAGTCAAATAAAAATAGGATTCCCTAAAAGCAGACAGCATATTCCACCTCATCGTCACAATCCTCAACTAGGCAAATGCTTCCAAGAAACAATTCAATCTAGCTGCATGAACTTGTCTTATTGAAGACACCCCCAAATCATTAAGCAAAATCTCTGAGGCATAACTGACATTTTTATCCTTTATCTGACAAATGTGACAGGAGCCACTGTGTTCACTAAGCCCTCATCCCTTCTTTGGAGCAGTTCGTCTTTGGTATGAGTGGTTCCAGCATTGAGGGCTCCTCAAAAGTTTTCATCAGCCGCCATAATCGGGGGATAAGATCAAGCTGTTAGCTCTGTCCAGCTTTTGTTTCTGAAGGCTAACATTTGTTGCTGGACTTCACCAACAAGAGAGAAATGAGAGATCTGGGGCAGCCCATTCAATCACGTAGAAGTGGCAAATTCATCGAAAGGGTTTTAAGTAACCTGAGTTTGATAGGTAACTGTGACTCTAGGCCCTTGCTTTCATTTTCTACATCCTCCACAGCAAAATGTTGCCAAATCTAGTTGAGTTTATTTCTCTGTTCTACTCCCACAGCCTCTGCCCCCTCGGTCCAGGCTCTGCCCACCTCACCTCAATTTTTGTGACAACTGCTGACAGGTCTCCTTGCCTTGGGCTTTTCCTCTCTCCAATTTGTTCTCCTTCCTACCGTTGCTTGTGTTATCTTCAGAAAGCACAGCACTGATCATGTAATTTCCTTTCTCAAAAAGTTTCAAAGTCTTCTCATTGCACACAGAACCAAACCCAAACTTCCTCACCTGTCTTTCAAAACTGTACATAGCTGAGTCGCATGCTTAATCAGATTCAACATTTATAAAGGGCCTCATTTTGCAAGCATTCATGTAAATATGGAGGTTACAGAACGTAGCAAGAATACCAAATATGTATTAGTATTAAGAGACAAAAAAGGGGCCAGCCCGGTGGCACAGTGGTTAAGTTTGCAGGGTCCGCTTCTCAGCTGCCCGGGATTCGCCAGTTCAGATCCTGGGTGCGGACATGGCACTGCTTGGCAAGCCATGCTGTGGTAGGCGTCCCACATATAAAGTAGAGGAAGATGGGCACGGATGTTAGCTCAGGGCCAGGCTTCCTCAGCAAAAAGAGGAGGATTGGCAGTAGTTAGCTCAGGGCTAATCTTCTTCAAAAAAAAAAAAAGAGAGAGAGGCAAAAAAGAATAAAACATAGTTCTCTCCAGAAGAAGTTCTCATCTCCCTGGGAGGTGGGTACATAAACGAATACTGAAGGAGACGCCAGTTTTGTTCCACTCTTAACTGCCACATACGCTCCACCATTTTGACCCCACACACCGTTGATGGAAATCCCCTCCTCCAGCCATTCGGGACAATCCACAGTCTTTCAAGGTTGGCAGTCCTCTGCCACCTCTGCACCTTTGCTCATCTGGTCCTCTCCATCAGGAAGTCTTCTCCCTCCACATCCTTCCCGAGGAATATTTGATAATCTACAGTAAATGCTTTAGAATAGGACCTTGAAAAGTGGTGCTTGATGTACTGCCTCTTTTTGTTGAAATTCTATGCCATTGTTTTCCATGTCATATTAAGATTTAGTTTCAAATACCCACTAAAGTTTTTATAGCTCCTCTAGCCAGATTGCAAGGCAATTCCTTTAGCCAGCAATGGAGTGTGGGGAGAGAAAGACAATATCCCTTTCCCTAATGTGTTCTGCAAGCGCAAATTTATTTGGCTGTGCCTTTCTCTGATGGTCTTTGATCCAAATAACGATGCTGAAAACATGGTAGACACTGAGACATAAAGCAGCCACAA